AGAGAGAGAGAGAGAGAGAGAGAGAGAGAGAGAAATAATAAACAATTGTTGGCTAATGGTTGAGAGGAGGCTCTAATTTAGTCTCGGATTTTGGTCATGAAATTCATTATACATTCGTATTTAAAAATCTTTTTTTAGTACACTTTTTTGCAAACTTGAGAAAAAATTGTTCTTTAAATCACTCGTTAGACACGAGCCCTGCTTTGTCTGTCTTTGTGCCCAAAAAACTAATGCTATAATAAAAGTATTTTGAATATATTTGCAAAAAATTATATATAATTTAGTAATTTTTATTTTGAGAAATTTCAAGTTTAACAATAGATATGATTGCTTTCTAAATACACCAATCGATGTACAGACATAATACTACTGGTAATTGACTTATTATTTGATAAGTATTTGCGAAATAACTAAAAAATAAGTGTTAATTTCGTATAAGTTATACATATAAGTTATAAACATGAGTTTAAAATCAAAATTCTTTAATCAACAATACATTAAAACTCTGGATATCATTAGATATATTATACAATCATAAACATAGAGCCCCTGAGAGGCAATGCATACAAATATTGTTGTCTATTATGTATAACGAAATTCATAAATTATATCATAATTTTATAAAAATTGTCTAAAATTACATTTTATCTAAAAAAGTTAAGAATAAAAGATCAGAAATTTTTGGCTCAAATTAAACATTTATGACTGAATAACAACTTCTCGCTCTAACTATTAAATAGTCTGTCATTTCAACAATCATTCTGTAATTAATATCAAAACGTTTCTAATTTAAAACAAAAATTAGGATAACTGTTGAATAAGAAGTAAATGATTTAAATTACTTCATAATTTCTATTACATTAACAGCACAACGAATTTTTAATACATAATATTAAACGAGTTTTAAGTATTTGTAATTAAAATAAATCAAATTAAAATCACAATGAATTTAAGCGGTGCTAACAAAGACTTCTCGTATTATTATAACAATTTTGACAATTCTTCGTATGTAAACATCCAATTGATAGGCGATAAGTATGATATCGAGAAGATTTTCCCAAATATATTCGCCAATATTGAGAGCTTTATAGTCGGCTCTTCCATCACTTTTCTTGTGTTTTACATATTTGTGACCATATTTTCGACGAATGCCTTCAAAGTATTCGTGAACACAACGACTCAAAACTTGGACCAAAATCTCTATATTGTTTGGGATGTAATTAACTTCAAAAATCCGGTCATTCGGTAAAATCTAAAGTCATTTATATTTATTGCTGATAAGAGTGGCATCATTTAGCCTTAATGTCAATTCTAAATGATTTGTTACAAATCAATAAAACCTTAATTAATAATTCGTGGCATTCCTCTGGTGTTTCAATGCAATGCAATTGTCTTTGTATATGAAACACAAGAATGTTACTAACAATCAATTGTAAAATGATGATTACATTACATTTGAGGCATTCAATCATCATTTTATCAGATTTTTCAAATATATAAATCAATAAAAATAAATGCACAGAAAATTTTTCTAACTCGTAAACAAAACTGAAAATTTTGCAAATATACACAATAATTGTTAAAATTGATATTATTATAGACTTGTGAACAAAATGCTAAACGAAGAATACAACAGAGTATTAGATGAAAGGGATTACAATCGACTGATCAACGATTTCGATGAACTCGAAGCCCATAAGAATGAAGGAACTAATGAATTAGAAAAGAGTCGATTCCGACTCCAAGTCCTCAAATCACAGCAAAGGTATTCACAGACAATAGACGTCCCCTTATATGACACCAAAGAATTGGAATTATTGGAGAAAAAGTTTGAAAACATTGAGAAAGTGAAACGAATGCCCAAAACTCTTGTGCTGGCCATCAATGAAGTCAACCCTCACTACGAGAGTCCGCGAGAGAAACAACTCTCACAACTCATGAATAATATGAAAGAATGCAATAAAACGCTTATTATTAGAGGAAAAAATTAACACAAAATGAAATGAAATTAAACAAATTGATTGAAAAACAAATTTAAAATTTATTAAAATAAATTCACACAAAGTTTTGTTTCAAAACTCAATCAAATCCTTAAAATATTTGTATTTCTGTTTTATAAAATGTCTGAAAAGTTAATCACAATTTTTAAAATTTAAACAAATTTAAAATTTATTAAAATAAATTCACACAAAGTTTTGTTTCAAAACTCAATCAAATCCTTAAAATATTTGTATTTCTGTTTTATAAAATGTCTGAAAAGTTAATCACAATTTTTAAAATTCATTTCAAAGTCATATTTAAAAACAAATAAATAAATGAAAAGTTTTTATACAAAAAGTAATCAAAAATAATGTTAAATCTGATAATGGATTCAAACTATGAAATTATCGACAAAGAGAGAGAGAAAGAAAGCGATATACAAAAGAGGGAGCGATGTATTGTCTGGAAGTGGCCATCACTTGACCACCGATTGTCCCCATTTCCTGATTCCTCGACAACTCAACAATTGGTTTGAATTACTCCAGAAAACGGGCGCCGAATCTAAACGAGTGTTGGGCTCCGCGGCCGACAGCTTCTGCTTCTTAGCGATCGACACGTCATCTGCTCATCAAAAGTGACACTCAATTAATCAATTCTTAGCCAATTATCATCTCGTCATACCATCGATGCAATCGTTGGATCCGCTGTCATCCGTGGCGTACAAATAGTCCAAAATCTGGTAATCCATGTGCGGGTTGTTGTCAGTGTCATCGCTCGCCGCGTGGGCGCCGATCACCAGCCGCTGGTCCGCCTCTTGAGTGCGTTCCCTCTGATTCAGCGTTTGGACAACGAGTCGACAGTCTTTGGCGGAACCGCTGCCGAAGAACTGTTTGATGGACTGCTTATGATTGCATACTTTGCACAACCATTTGG